GTACCGCGCGAATGTAGCGCCGGTCTATTGAATTCTGCTCAACCCGAGGTTTAGGAGCTCTTTTAATTTTGATGTTTAATTTCTGTTAAGCTAGATAAGTCTAGTTCATATCTCGAATAGGATTAACAGTTTCGCATCGAGCAGCGTACGCGCACGTCATCAGTCGAGGGACAGAACATCTCCATATAACACCTATACTAACATCACACAGGTGGCATACATTCTTCATTTATCATTTTAATTTCATTTAGAGGATAGGTCGTATTCATTGCGATGAAAATGGGAATACAATCAAAAATATTACTTAAGTTTATTTGACATTCTTGTAAAAATCAATATCAATTTGTAAACAAAATTAATAATGCATATTTTTAAATGAATTTTAAAGGACCAATATAATTGGAAACTGTTCTCTTTTCATGCAATATATGGAATGCGACGGCGGAAGTAATGTTGTTTTATTTCATATTTCTTTCTTAAATAATAATAGAGAAATAACAGGAAACTACGAAAGTTCCATTGGGTTTTGGTTTTGCAGGTAGAGAAAATGACAATATGAACACATCAGATTGCGACTTATAAGATTATCTTTAAAAGTAATACACAAAAGCGAAATAAATAGAAATAATGTCTACATGGTATAAAATGTACACATATGGTGTAGTAAACGGAAAAGTTTCATAGAAAAGATAAAAAAACCTTCACAAGCACGGTCAGTTCAGGGCCCGTTCTGCGAGTTTAGTTCAGTATGTGAAAATTGTGGCATTGAACGTGTTAACTTATGAAAGTAGCCACGGAACAATGACTGATACGGCTTATATTACCTTCGTTTTCTTGACAAACTAGTATTTTATCTTTCTTCCTTATACGATTCATAATCATACGTACATTCACTTTTTTACTTATAATGTTGAATATCTGAAGTTTTTATTAAAACGATTTTAATAATTCTTTAACTTTTAAGAAACCTACTTTTAAACTGTAGTAGTTATTAGGCTATGTTTTGCCAGGGAATGCGAGGCTAGCAAATAAAGATACTGAAATACGCCGGGTACTTCGGATACCTTATTCCGATAACCGAAAAGTTATTTTTCTATTGTTTTGACGTTCCCTGAATAACTTAAAGTATATCTTAGTACCACATCAAGCTACAAGTATACATTTAAGGTCAAGTTGATAAGAATATCATTAGGTTTTTTCCAAGTACACTTAAATAGTACTAGTAGTATAAGGTGGCCAATTTCGGAATGTATTGAGGAAGTATATGATGCGTAGAAGATAACGATTTAACCAGCTATTAAACTAAAGCGTCATTGAGACATCTGACCTCAATCAAATTACATTATTTATTAAATAATTAAATATTAACGACGAGCATTAGAAGTTAACGCACACATGCAATTGAGAACTATGGAGTACCTTTTTATATTATTTACGTATCGCTTATCAATTGAGATTAATTTCACCTGTCTGGGTTTTATTTCCCAGAACTTGTCAAAATAGAAAATATGCCACATCAAACGCAATAGCCGCAATAAAGATTCGAGACAAAAAAACAAACTTATCTTTTATGCGTTTGCGCATTCGTCAATATTTATGCGTATATTATATTGAGGCATAGATAAATTTTAATATTGAATAACAATTGACGCACGTTTTGACATATATTTAAATGTTGACCGAGTTTATGTGAACAATTCTGATATTTTTTTAGTTTTTAAATTCCATTAAACATTTTATCTAAAGGTCGTGACGTATGCAACTACGTCGCAATATCGAGAGCTCGAAAAGCTCATCTCGTTTCTATCGATTTTTTTTCCAATTCTATTTCATTCCAAAAAAATGAATAAAATAAGACGTATTTTTTAACTATTAGACGTCTGAAAGTTCATAAGATCGCCGCACTTCGCTAGCGATATTTTCTAAGCCGTTTGAAGTGCACGTGTAGGTTTTTCCCCTAGGTTGAAAATACTTTGATATATGACCACCTACGTAACTTAATGTACTCAGTGCTCGAAATAAATTTAGATACCGATGATTTTCAAGAAATAATTACTTTCATCATGATACTGTCATATTCATTAAGTAGTAAATTGGTTTTAGAAGAGTTGTCTAACGTCGATAACTTAGTTATTTTTTAAAAGTGCATTGTTGTAAAATTACTGAACTGCAATGAGTTTTAATTCTACTAAGAATTTAATCGAAGTAGGTGTTGATCTAAATTTATTTATTAATTCAAAGTGTTATTAGTGCTTAATATCAATATTTTAATATTAAACAACTTGATCTAGGTAATAAAACTGTTCAATAACAAGTAACTCGTGTCACGTTTCCCCATCCATAAGGAAAATGTATATAAAGCGGAAAATTAGATATACAATAAATACAGTGTCAACGTTACGGTATGCGTGGCTATCTACAGTATGTCTCAAAAAGGTAACGCATATAGACGAAATCACAAGAATGTTATAACAGAAGATATTTTGAAAACCGCACTTCCTAGTTAAGATTTAAGATTTTTAATGGTTATTTAAAAATACTGTTAAAACTGTTGTGTGCTTGTCAAAGTTTGCTACATCATTTTTTTTTATTTTTCCATCGCTGTTATAAAATAGAACAGCTTATCACTTTTTGCGCTGGTTTTTATTACTAAAATAATATCTCCTTTAACAGATAATTTCCGTCAGTTTTATAAGACTACCTTTTATAAGACTTTTGAACGTCCTGTATATTTATTTGCAGACACAAAAATAGTACAACGTTTTACACGTTTTTTTGTAACTGAATGTAAATTTCCTTCTGTGTTCGACGGAAAAACTTTTATAGCTTTGCCAGCGTGAAAAGCTTCACGTTATGAATGTATACGCCGAGTCTATTGGAAGGAATTTTCATAGAAGAATTGCGGCTAAGAGCTTACGATGAGATTTCGTGAATCGAGTCTTATGTATTTAAATGAAATTTTGTCAATACAAATAGATATTTCTTATCTACGAACAAACAAAATGAATTCATCATATATTTTGTATTGATATATGGGCTGATTATCTAGAGCTATCAGAAGTAGCAAATACACATAAGTATACAAATACACATAAGGTACAAAATAAGTATTAGGCGTAAGTATGCAACAGGTTGAGATGACAATCCAATATACCTGTTAAACTTTACCTCTGCATTGGTAAAAATTATTAACTTAATTCATACTTACGAGCAGTAAGTGGACAAGACAATAAAACTTTTTGCCCACTCTTTATGCGTTTTGTTATGATCTGATACTGCGGTGAATACGTTACAAATGGAAATTAACTTGTGCTGTTTTGTACACCGTTGAGAAATAAATATTAAATCAATATTTTATTCTGAACTGGTTTTATAGCGCGACAACAATTGCGTAACATATTACATGTCTTATACCTGCGTACAGAGTATACTCTGTTTTAAAATAATAAAAAAGAACATTTTTTTAATTGTGTTTGTGACGCCGGTCTTTTGGTTTAAATGACCATAAGTCGAAAATTGAATGTTTTTAAAGTATGCAGTACTTATGTGTCATAATTGCAAAAGACACTAACTATACCAGCATAGTTGTTAATAACACATTTGTCTTATTATATTATAGCTAAGTGTAAAACGTCAGGCGTTTATTTAATTGCCCAGTTCCTTTTCCCAGAAGTTTATAGTATCAGAAGTCAATAGTTCGTAGTTTTCTCAAGTTTTGCTCTTAAATAGAGTCCTTGTACGGTACGTTCTTTCCGTAGTGTTTATTCTAGGATAGTCTGCGAGGGCGGAGGATATATGATGCCCCGGAGAGTTCGCGGATTGCTGTGACGGGGTATGTTATGGTTGCAGTTTCTTACAAATTGTTTTATATTACGCTCTCGAGGCTATTTGATATTTGAGAAAGAAACCAATTTATTTTTACTTAATAATACAAAATGAAATTAATTTAACAATGTGTAAGAACGTAGAGAAGTATCACAAGATTTCCAAACAAATTGTCAAACAATTCCGAAAGCTGAGTAGAAGGCAACAGTGCTGAAAAATTGTTGTTTTAGATGTTAGGCGATCTGTGACATTTTTTGATTGTCGATTGACTAAGGAGACTGTTATTATCATTTTTAATACGAAAGGTAACTAGAAAATTACTTCTATACATTGTCTTATATTGTGTTACACTATTGATAGATTACGTTTGTGGTAATCCCAACGCACAGATAACATTATTCTATTAGAGGAGGTCTACGTGTTGTCGGTGTAGACGTGCCTTGAGGTTAATTGTTTGGATTATCGCGAATCTCTTCCTGATGAAATCCAGCCAGCTAACAAAATATATCCAAACTATCTATAAAATGTCTATTCTACCTAAAGTAATATATCTATACAATATTTTGTGATGATAGTATTTCTTAATCAAATTAACTATTTTTGGTATCATATAACTGGGAAACTATACAGAACAAACACAGAAAGGGACACCCTTCCCTGTTTCCAGAAGCAGAGTAGATTGTCATCTAACATAGTGCGCACGTAAGTACAAATAACGGTAAAAAAACCTAATAACTTTGTAAACAATGAGTTATGAATATAACTAAGTTACAATTTCTACTAAGTTTGTATTAGCTCTTTAATATTTAGTATAACCGTAATTATTTAAGCTTATTTTTATGTTTACACATACAGTGTATTAGCGTTGATCGTGTTAAAGATGATAGGATCTCTAAATAAAAACACAGCGAAAGGTGTTTGTCATTTCGGAAGACAGCTGTAGGCAAGTACGACTGAAGTCGAAGATAAGTACCTACATATCTACTTGGCAAATAAAAGGTAATGTGCGTTTAATATTAACAATTTTAAATGAGTAAAATATTGTATTATTTGCGTTTCGAAGTATTCAAGTGATAACTTTAGACGATAAGTCTTAAAAAAATGTTACCATCCATTAAAATGTCTACGAAACTAATACAAGACAGGCACTTCTAATCTCCTTATAGTTTAAAAACTAAATTACCTTTTATTATGGAATAGTTAAAAGGAAGAGAACCTCTTTATTTAAAGCACAATGGTTTCCTATAACACCGTTAACAAAGTTTTAACAAAGGAGTTAGGAACTTCAATCTACTCGCTCTAATATATTCGTGCAAATACTGTAAGCCGGCGGCCAAAGTTAACTTTGACGGTTGATGGATAATCAAAGCACCACTGATGTGCCCCGTGCGGTATAATAGTTCCGTTCCCTGCGTCCTAGTTACCTACGAGTCAAGGTTACTCCTACATTAAATCAATTGTTTACTTTTTGTGCGCTCGCCTCCTAGCAATAAAGAAAAACGTGGAAAATATCAGTGTTTTTGTCATACAAAACTAGACAAAAAAATAATCTATTTATATCAATAGATTTCTAACATTCATATTAAAAATTTTAATTTCATTCATTAAACGTAACCCTTTGA